ACTATGTCTTCCCATTGAGACCCCCCCCCCCCCCGTTTTTTTGCTTAAAAGTTCATGCGCATGGGAGGGGCCTCTCCCACCGCTCATTTCACTTCTCGGTCCGTGGGGTGGGGAGCTTTCTTTTTAAATTGTCAAAGATGCTTTAATCTGACTCACGTTCATATTGGTCTTCCGACCTCGCTTAGTCTCTCATTCAACTGCTCGATCCCCAGCGCTTGTCCCGGTCTGCGTCACTAGGTTCCATACGGACACTCGCAGGAGGGACCATCGGGGCAAAGAGGCGCCTCAATTCCCCAGCATCGCGCTGGCGAAGAGGCGACCTCTCAAAAGCCCCATGGCTAGAAGCCCTTCGCCGGGCCTCTTGGGGGGCAACGAGCCTGCATACCCCCTCCTTCCCGCTCGTGCACATCTCTGGGAGGTCTGGGAGATGCGACTGCTCAGCGTTCCGCCATCCACCGGAAGTCTTGGACCATTGGTCTGATGCGCCATAGCTACCCTTGTGTTCTTATGTTTTGTTCTCATGATTGTGTTTTGAAGTCAGAGCAAGATTTGTAATCCTTTTCAGGAAACAAAAATAACTACCCACTTTGTAAAGGCCAGCTAGAGGTATGTTTGCAGTCCACAAAAACATGGCTAGAAGGTTTGACGGGATCTTGTGCACAGCTCAGTTTTAAGTGCTTTCAGAAAGGCTCTCTTGATCTTTATTATGTCTTTCCTCCAGTCTTGCTTTTTTAATATTTTTTGCCAGCCTCACATATTGAAAGACCCTGTTTCCATGATGTAGCAAATGTTTACGTATAAGTGAATGGCCTCAATCAGGCTGTGTCTTTGCATTGCCTTCAGTTGTTCATTCTCGCCATAACAACTGTAATGAACTCTTTACCATCCTGAGACTGGCACGATCTGCAGATACTCCACCCTTTTCTTCATTTGCTGCTTGTAAATGACTTTAATAATTGTCCAAGAATTTGATTTTCAGTTTGACTGAGAGCCATGAAATATGAATGTTTGTTTTCTATCTGTAATGCTTTTCATGTGACACCTGCAAAGAAAGAGGTTTGCTTGAAGTGCATTACTGCCCTGGAGTGATATTCTAGCATCATGACTCGACAAGCTTGTCTTTGTGAAAGGGCATCCACTGCAGAGGCAGAATATCTGAGACAGATAATTATGAGTCATCAGAAATTCCCACCATGAAAATGGATGTGATTTTGCCTGCTGCAAACTGAAATGGCTGCTGTTTTGGAATGAATCTTCTGTATAAGTGATTGTGAGTATGGAACCGTGTGAGAGTGTGTGTGTGTGTGTGTGTGTGTGTGTGTGAGAGAGAGAGAGAGAGAGAGAGAGAGAGAGAGAGAGACAGACAGACAGACAGACAGACAGACAGACAGACTGTGCTGAATTAAAGACAAGAGTAAACCATGGCCAGCCAGGGAACAACTCACAAAACTTCACTGCTATAAAATACACCCTTTTAAAAATAGGATCTTCCTGCAAGGAGGTATATACAGAGTTATCCCACTTTCTCCTCACAACAGCCCTTTGAGGTAGGTTAGGCCTGAGAGATGGTGACAGGACTGGCCCAAGGTCATCTGAGTTGCTTCATGGCTGAGTGGGGATTTGAATCTGCTTCTGCCCAGTCTGTCTCCATTGTTCCATGCTGGCTGTTGGGGGGGGGG